TTGCTTTACTTACCTAAGCTCTTTAGTCTTTAAGCTTTCCAAAAGTTTCCAAAAGTCAGTGCACATTTTCTTTACAAAATCCCTTATTCAAATATTAAAAAACAAAAAAACATCATTCAAGCAAAGGGGGTAGTCCAGCAAGCAGCTTTCTGACATTATTTAGGGGTGGGCCCCTAGAATAATGTCTAGAGATTTCAAGCTTTAAAAAAATGTTGCTTTAAGTAAACTTGTATTAATTCCCTTTCTTTTCCTTTTGATTTGCTTTACTTACCTAAGCTCTTTAGTCTTTAAGCGTTCCAAAAGTTTCCAAAAGTCAGTGCACATTTTCTTTACACAATCCCTTATTCGAAAATATTGAAAAAAAATCATTCAAGCAAAGGGGGTAGTCCAGCAAGCAGCTTTCTGACATTATTTAGGGGGGGGCCCTAGAATAATGTCTAGAGATGTCAAGCTTAAAAAATATGTTGCTTTAAGTAAACTTGTATTCTGTCCCTTTCTTTTCCTTTTGCTTTGCTTTACTTACCTAAGCTCTTGAAAAGTTGAAGATTTCCATTGAGATTGGATGCTTTTCAAGGTCTTTGGATTGAGATTTCCATTAGAATATTGAGAATTCCATTTCCACTTTATTGCTTTCCTTTTACTTTAGTATTCCAAATGTCTTCAATTTGAGATTTCATTGATTCCCTTTCATTTTTAATATTGCCAGAGATAGCTAAGTAATGATTCCTTTCATTTTAGTATTGCCAGAGATAGCTAAGTAATGATTCCTTTCATTGTTAGTTAGTATTGCCAGAGTAGCTCCAGAGGTAGCTAGCTAAGGATTCCTTATATATTTATCAATTGATTGGTTTTCTAGCATATCATTATAGAGGCCCCAATTGTTGGGGGGGGGGGGGGGGGGTTGATTAATCAAGAGTCAACATTATTATACAATCCCCGGTGGAATTACCGGTGAGCCTTGAGAATCGATTCTATAGCGATAAAACGAAAAACCAACCCAGAGGGCAGTTTGCCTCACTATAGAATCACATATCAACCTCCTGCAGGCTTAAAGCCCGTTCTCTACAAAATGATTCAGCCCAAGGTATTGGCCAAAACGGGTTTTCTCATCATTGAAATGTTGATTGCCAACAAATTGGAAAATCAATGATGCAAAGCCCAGGTTGGAATTGATTCTATAGAGAAGCGGGGAACATATGAAGGTTTTAGAAAAAGATTGGACAAAAGTGGCCCGAGAGGTTGCTTTTGATTTTATAGAGACATGTTTGGACACCGCATGGTTGAAATTGATTTTAGACAAAGATTGGACAACAGTGGCCCGAGAGGTTGGTTTTGATTATATAGAGACATGCTTAAACACTGCAGGGTTGAAGTTCATCTTAGAAAAAGATTGGACACAAGTTGCCCAAGAGGTTGGTTTTGATTGTATAGAGACATGTTTGGACACCGGGTTGAAATTGATTTTAGAAAAAGATTGGACAAAAGTAACCCAAGAGGTTGGTTTTGACTTTATAGAGACATGCTTGGACACTGCAGGGTTGAAATTGATGTTAGAAAAAGATTGGACAACAGTTGCCCAAGAGGTTGGTTTTGATTGTATACAAACATGTTTGGACCACTGCAAGGTTGAAATTGATGTTAGAAAAAGATTGGACAAAAGTGGCCCAAGAGGTTGGTTTTGATTGTGTCCAAACATGTTTGGACCACTCACTGCAGGGTTGAGATTGATTTTAGAAAAGATTGGACAAAAATGGCCCAAGAGGTTGGTATTGATGTTATAGAGACATGCTTGGACACTGCACGGTTGAAATTGATGTTAGCAAAAGATTGGACAAAAGTGGCCCAAAAGGTTGGTTTATAGAGATATGTTGGGACACTGCAGGGTTGAAATTGATTTTAGAAGAAGGTTAAGCAAATCTGCATTATATAAACAAAAATAAATAAACAGCAAAGACCAAGCCCATGTGTTAAAACAATGATTATAGAGGGGTGATTGGACAATTGAAATTTAGAATCCCAACACTCACCGGAAATCGCACAAAGGATGATTGAATGATTCGGAATGAATCAAAAACTATAACCTCTATAGAATATGGTGCATTTTCATGCCTTCTCTATACAATGGACTGGCTCAACCTTTGGGCATCAGCCAAGCTGAACCAGTGGGGGCCCATCTCTTAAAGCTAGTGTTTTTTCCACGTAAAATTTGAGGGTCATTTTGTACTCAAGCTCCCCGATTCTATAGGATGCATTCGGCGGGGGATATTATACAGTAATTGTGGTAGTAATGGTTTCATCTCGATAGTATACTGAAGGCAATGGCTGGAACCGGAGACTCAAATCTATAGCACAGCCGCCCCGACATGGAAAAGTGAACTGTCTTCAAACATGTGCAAAATTCTTGGAAATCCCTTCAATCTATTATTATATCTATTGGGGGGCTACCATGCATTCCAGGTGTCATCCGTCTCTATCCCTCAGCACCACTGCTGATTGCCAAACTGCCGTGTCTTGCAAACCCGAAGCTGTAGGGTTTGAGGCGAGCATCCGGTCGAGCATCGTTCCGCTCACAGTCAGCACGGCTGAGATGGCTCAGGACCCAAAGCAGCAGGATGTGAAGCAGCATGGCTCCGAACATCGTCGCACGGCGGTCTTTATGGAAAATCTCTGATTGATATACGCCCGGCCTAGATGGGTCTGGGCTGGAGGTCCTAAATTATAGAGCCATGTGGCTCAGCCATGACAGGCAAGGTGTGGGAACAATGGGAAAACCGAGTTTTAGGTGTCAAACCTTGCAAACTTCCAGACTGAATCCTTTCCTCACACTAAGTTTGGCCCAGGGTCGTTTCTCTTGAACAACCTTCTGCAGGCGGAACATCAATCAAGCTTGGATTCCGGAGGAGAATTGAACCCTCACAGGCGCTGTCTGTCCACTCTCCGCCCAGGAATAAAACCCTTGAAGTCTCCTTGCATCAGTCTGTGGGAATCAGCACTCGACACCCCACACGGCTCAAACCACCAGCTTTCCCCGACTGGGATATGCTGGGATTCCTTGGGGTACTTGGGTGATGCCTCACCAAACAAGCTTCACACCGAGCGATGACTTGGGTGGTCCACGAAATTCAAGACATCACTAGACAAAGATTGCTCACCATCGCGCCATCGCCGCTAGTTGGGTGGTGGCGTGCTCTTCCAATGAGCATCTATCCACCCAGGTCCGGTTGGAGGATCCACGGAGCATGTCCCTTTCGACCAGTTCTAATATATTCAAATTCTTGCTTAACACTTAACACTTGTTTCAAGTACCAAGGGGCCTTTGGTGACCGGCCTGCCACAGGTTCCTGCTTCACTCCGTAGAATTCCTCCCAAGATGAGTGGTCTTTCCGCACCCCGCTTCGTCACCCCTTTTCGGCGCCAAAAACTTGTCCGTCACTTCCAAATGGCATCGATCACAGCCTCAGCCGCGAACCCAAATGCCATGTGTCTGTTGTCTTTTCTCAGTCTTGAGGAACAAAGTCCAGCAAAACGTCGCCAAACCATGGAGACATGTCCATCCATCCACCTGCCTCTTTGACTTGCCTTTTCTACGATCTATGTAGTAGCTATATAAATGCTTCTAATTAGTCAACTCCTTTCACTTGGCAAAGTCCGCTTCCAAAGGATCAAACATGCAGGTGTTTGACACCCCCCCCCCACTGGTCACATTCTCTTCCTGGAGGGTTTCAGGGAATCGGGCGCCCACCTTTTCGCAAAGCCGTCTACATAGCCTGGGCATGCCCAGGAACAGAAGCCTTCCTGCCGTTGCCGCCATTGCCACCTCTCCAAATACCAAGGTACAAACAACCAACAAAGGGCACGGTGCTGCTCAGCTAGACACTGCTCTGCTCCAGTTTGATTTGGGGCCTGTCTTCTTGGCAAACAATATTCTCCAACGTCATCTCACCTCGTAGACTCTAGACTCCCACCCACCTACCTGCCAAGCTTTTCAGACCTGCCTGTACCGACCCCCGGCTCCACGTCCAAAGGCTCCAGGCCACATCCTCCTGATCTTGCAAGCCATCTCCCAAACAAGGTGTCGGCGCCTTCCAACGGGCATGAATGGTATTTGGGGCCCACCAGCATCAGCTTTGACGAAACTCTTTCCTATACTGTATGTGTTTGATATATGGATTATGGATTGATCTCCGTTTCATGCTGCTTCCGGTGCCCTCCACTCGTTCCTTCATGCCGAGAGCAACCTTCACCCAAGGACCTAAGGGTTTTGAGAAGGACTCTACAGAAGGACCCAGTACACCCAGAAACTCGGACGGCCCTCGGCTCACATCAACCTTTCCACAGGGAAGAGCAACCTTGCAAACAAAAGAATGATCCACTGAAACGAGATGAACCCATGGATGAGCCCGGATGAGCCCCTAGACATGGTCTCTCACCAGCCTCGTAGAGCTCCACGGTGGCTCCAGCCTGGTCGGGGGACCCACGAATGGTGTTGGATCTGCTTGGGGTGTGGTGCTCCGGTCTGTGCGAGTGGATATCAACAAATACCAACAAAAGGAAGCCATTGGAAGCACAGGATCTACGTGAATGCGCCAACTGCAGCACGGCAGCTGCCACTGCACAAGCTCCATGGGGGTTCGGAAAAGCTTTTCACCAAGAAGTCCAAACACGATCCCTATCTGTTGGGCCTATCCTATTACCTGTGACAGTGGATGATGATGGTCAGTAAAGGCCTTGTCCAAAAATAGTGATAAACTTGTTTACTGACCCTTACATGCAATAGGCCCCACCTTACATGCAATAGGCCCCACCTATCTGTTACGGCAACATCTGTTGACTGTTGAATAGTAACTCAACCTACCTTGCCAAAGATTTGTCAAACATGATCCATGTGTTCTTCTTGTTTGAGTCAAAGCCGACCTCGAAAAGCCGCGCCTGGCGCAATCCTGTTGCCAAGGCTTCCCGGGTACCCGGACAGCGCTCCCTCCTGGCGTTCGGTGCAGCTTGCTTCATGTGCAGCGATGCAAATTGCTTGGGCAGCAGTTCGTCGTGGGAATGTGCATCTGCAACTGCCGTCTGCTTTTTTCCGCGCGTCTTCTGGTGCAGACGGATTCGTTGCGGGCGAATCCAACCCCGCCGCCACATGCAAGCAGTGGTGCCCCAAGCCTGGTGTAAAATGTTATCACAGGTGTTGTAGGGTCTATCTAAATCCTCTGGCCCAAGGATTGTTGTGATATGTCATATGTCCTTTTCAATGATGCAATGGAATCATACAATAGATTCAACTGAGAATCTTCGTATTTCCCCTTTGCTTGAAACCTGATACTTGCAGCACAATCATCTGCATCCTAGCTACTTGCCAAGCGCCCTCGCCCTTTTCCAAGAGCCACCTGGCGTTGTGCCCCCAAACAGCCATGCAACGCGAGGCCCTCACATCACATTTGCTCCTGCCGCCATCAAGTCGTGCAACGTCGGCTGCGGTAGGTGCCAGGATGTTGCAAATGTCTCGAGACTGCGGGAACCCCCAAACCAAGAGTAGCTTAGGACAGTAAGCACATCCACTTCCATCCCAGTGAAGTTCCAAAAAAAAATCCTTGCTGCTTGCGCTTGGCACTCAAACCCGGCTCGTTCGCTGATCTGCACCCTAGTCATCGGCTTTACTTATAGAGTCCCCAAACCCAGCCAGCTTCTTACAGCTAACATTCTAAACAAAGGATAGCTAGCTGAGAGTAGCATAGAAGCAGCGACTATAATCGCAATATATCTGATATCTCTTAATGCTGTGCAGCAGGAAGCGCACATAGTGGCACTTGTTTCTTTCAATGTTCCCTTTGACAGTCCCAAACGGAAAGCTATAATAGACTAGTATGTACTTTGTCTTATTTTAGGTCTGAGACCATTGCTATTAGGTTGGAATTATCCGTTGTTGCTATCCGCAAAAGCCCACTCCCATCGTAAGGAAAAATGGTCTTACAACCCACATGGAGGCTTTTCAAGCAAGGACTGCAAACGAACCATGACCAAACGTCACCCGCAGTATATATATATATAATATATATATATAACTCAGTTCCAAGTCCATGTGACATTCAGTCAATATCCAGGATCATTCAATCATCCAATCAATTCATGGGCAGATCTTTGGATCCGGTCCTTAGTCCAATGAGATGCTGGGCTTGGGGGTGTAGTGCGCCAAGCCCTCATGTGGGATGAACTCAGAGGTGAAGAATGCACCAAAGAAGATCACAAACATCAGGATGGCGCCCAACCTAAGCGAAACTGATGGCAAACAGTTGGAAGTCTAAACGGATTGCCCACCGGTTGATGGTGTGGGATACATCCATGTGCTGGAATACGCCACCCCATTGGCAATGGCTCACTCTTCATGCCACCAGGTGGCAACGCCGCCACTTGCTCTGGTTCTTGACATGTGGGAATTGCAGGGGGACCGGTGGGCGTATGAACATCTCCAAAGGTTGTGCTAAATCTCTGTCCGGTATCTTCCTCCAACCAGGTGTGTCTTTGAGTGTTTACGTCTTTTTGTAAGAGACTTTCAAGGTTGTATCATTGTATGGTTTTGTTTGATGCCTTCAACTTTGAAGTTCTCAACCACGCAGCTTGCAGTCCCGCTACTCAATCGACAGGAGGAAAGACGTGGACTTGCATACCGAAACAGAAAGTTCCTCTCCACGTGTGTCTGTGTGTGTGTGGAGGGAGGTGAAGTAATATGTCGTTCTGATGCACGCCTGGCGTATCTGCCTGCAGTTTACTTAGCAAGAAATGACTGCTTTGGATTAAGCAACGCCTGGAGGTAAACACCTATCTCGGTGTCCTCTTGTGTATTGGTATGTATTGGTCTTGACCCAAGCAAAAGAAGCAGGTCATTCGTCCGTTTCTCTGGGCCCTCGGACGTTCCGCTGGGCAGGAAATGTCCTGGCATGGAGGATGCGAGGGTTTAGCCGGCAAGGGTGCCAATCAAGGGAAAAATCGATTCGATGACGAGGTGTGTCAAACAATGCGTTTCGAACCTAGTTCCCTCAGCTGCAACATTTCACCGTGCACATCTGAGGTGCGAGGAATGACAAGCACGTGGCTGTCAATCACATTGACACTTGTGCTCTTAGAATGACACACTCACATAGCCTCCAGCTGGAAATTTAAAAGCTTGCATGGTTGCGGCCAGTTCTTTTCATGTCTTGGTGGTTTTGCATGTTCTAAGCCCGCCTTCCTTTCACCTGGCGTTCCAGAACTCTCTACTGGCGTTCCTCTCCTGCACTCACGAAGCCCAGAAAGAGGACAAACTGGAGGACCAGTGTTAGGAGGCCCCACACAGGCCAAAAGGCAAAGAAGAACAGCCACACCTCGGTCGCCCCGCCCCATCACGGATGGGAAGCGGGATGGCCTAGTCGCGTCGGCATCGAAGTCTACGCGAAACTCGATCATCACACCTTTCCAAGCATGCACCCAAATGGGAAGCAGCATGCAGCTCAAAGTTGGAAGGATGTTTTCGACGTTTGAACTGGGCCTGACCGTGGGAATTCCAGTGGAACTGCTTGCTTGATGCAATTGGATACATAGACCAATTATGATCGATAGATAGAAAATATAGAAACAAACAGAACATGACCCCTTCAGCATCTAAAGGTGATGTCTAATGCTCCCCATCCAACGTATCCTGCCATGGCACACTGGTGAAGCCTACGATGGCCATGACCGGGATGGCCTCTGCAAGAGCAACCAGCTATGAGGGCGATATTTTTTTGCATTAACAAGGTCGGGAATACCATGGAATATGCAACCAGCCTATACAGTACTACGTGTAGTGTTTTCCAGCCTCCAAAATTCCAGAACAGTGGGGCCAGCTCCCAGGTAACCAGGTAGTGGCATGGCTTCCAGAAGCACCCCCATCCCCGTTGATGGATGATCCATGCTTTTTGGACCTGGGAATCGTTCAAAAGCATCTGTCATAACCGTGGACCCACTAGACCCCCTGGGATCTCTTTTTTTCGTTCACACTCGCTTGAACTTGATAAACACACAGAGCGATTGCAGGGTCAGGAGCATCGTTCAGCTCTTTCCTTTGTCGTTCAGTGGGAATAACATGAGCTATTTGTGCAATCTTGTATATGAGGGATGGTCAAAACTCCTTAATTATTATTCTTCAGCTAAAAAATGGACGTCATCGGTTTTGAATTGGACCTTATCATTTTACAGTGTTTTGAGTTCGCCGCATACTTATGATCATATACAGCGCGGGGGTTATCGGTTTTGAGGGTGGACCGTATCGTTTTGCAGGGTTTTGTGCAAAAAAGCAACCCCTCTTTACTAAAGTGGTGTTCACATGTTTTGACCGTAACTCATATGTGAATTTTGATCGTGCGTTTTCAAGTCCAGGAACTCCTCTGCTTGAGAGGCCTCCTTGAAACGAGTAGAAAACGGTTGAAACGAGTGGAAACGAACGTCAGACACATGAAAGTTGCCTGTACCCCAAGTCCGGCAAAGTGAACTTGGACCGCATAAAGCAACAAGCAAGATTCACAAGGAGTCTGAACATGTAAATTCACCCTCAAGACTCAAGCATTTTGGTGTTATCCTCTACAGTGTAGAGTGCACTCAGATTGGGGGTGGAATCCCTTCAAAAACCACCCTGTCTGTGGCCTTGGGATGCTTCGTTTCCCATGGCTCTTCGATCTTTAGGACAGAAGTGCACCAAATCGCCAGGTAGGCCAACAAGGTCATGTTGAAGGTGAGGCAGGCCAGGGCCAAGTAGAAGTAGGTTCGATTCACCAAAGGCGACTCCCAAATCACTCCTTTTGCAGGAATGCCGGCTGAAGGAGTAGGCGAAACAAGCAACAAACATCGTGCTTCTTGTATGATTCATTGACCAATGGAAACATTGATCCAGGAAAGGAACGATTCATGGTTCCAATATGTTCGGTTGATTCATGTTGAACAAATCCTGTGAGCATCCCTTTCCCACCCTCTGAAAATCCCCTCGCGCTTAAAATGTCCGAAGAAGGATGAGAGCTAGCATGGCAATTCCTCCTACCCTCCAACCAGAACTTCTTCAAGGCTTGGGCTTCTCCCTGTCACCCCTAGCGACAAATGCGACCAGCTGAGAGATTCTGGGCACCGCGCCCCTGCCTCAATGAGGAGCCCCTAGTAGCGTCCTTGCTCCTAGTAGTAAGGCCAGGAGCCCCTAGTAGCGATGCCAACAAGGAGCGGAAGAAGTTCGTATACCAAATGGCCCCACACGCCATGCTCACCCAGAAAGCTGCGGTCATCTTTCGCCACAGCCAGTTAAGGCGCTTCACCTTTGTGGATGGATCAATGGCAGGTGGGGAAGTGAACAAAAACATGGTCTCGTATTTGGTCTCGTGCTATACTCACAAGGGACTTGTAGGATTGTAGGCGATTGTAGGTGATCAGTGATCAGCTGCGGGCCGTTCCGACTTACATGAAGGATTAAGAAAGCGCCTTCGGCAAATGACATAGAGTATTCAGATGTATAAACATAAAATAACATAAGTATACAGTGATAACATCTGGCTGTGCAGTAGTTCATAGTAATTCCATCAAATCCAGCAATCCACACCATTGAATTGCCAATTGATCTACGAGAAGCTATTACAAGAACCGACCAGTGGTGGGCACCAGTCTAAAGTTGGCACCACGACAGATTCAAAACACCTGCCGAGTCATCCCGACATCCAAGTTGGCCCCCAAAGAATCAGACATGCTGACCGTCACATGCCCCCAAGGTACCCATTTCTTCTTCGCCAGCTCTCTCTCCGTGAGCTTGGATTCATCTTCTGCTTCCTGAACAGCGCAAGCGAAGCCCGGCTAAAGTGGTCTTATGTGGCCGTCCAAGAAATGCATGGAAGAAAATCGGTGAAGAAACACAGTGTTGATCCAGATGGGCAAGCTTCACGCGTCTCAATAAATACGAAACAAGTACAGTAAGTCGACTCTTCTTTTAACCGGTCTAACAAGAACCCTTTTCAATCCATTGAATCTGTTGATCTTGTCTTTTGGTTTTGCAAGCTTTCGGGGGGAGACACTAAAGGTGTCTCCCTCATGAATCTAAGCTTTCCAGCGGCGAACCAGTGCGGAAGCGACCTTCAGAACGAGAACACAACAGCTTGAAGCATTACTGAAGGAGTCAACAAATCCTTGACCATATCTGATCGCACCAGATCAAGCTGCACCTGCACCATCTTTAACTTCCACTACGCAGAAATACCTTGGTTCCACAATCGCTTGACCATGATTGACCCATCAAACAATTCAACCCAAAAGCACCGGAAAATCGCAAGGACTCACCCACACCATACAACAAACATGCTCACCCCATCAACATCCATCGACCCTGAACATCCCTGAACCATCTTACTTTGCCCATTTTCCGGAGTCACGCCTCCTTGAGAGTAACAAAAAGCTACTAGAACAAAGGGCCTCGCTACTAGGAGCAAGGACGCTACTAGTAGCTCCTGGCATTACTAGTAGCTCCTGGCATTGCTACTAGTAACCAGGACGCTACTAGGAGCAAGGCACCTTACTACTAGTAACAAGAACGCTACTAGTAGCTCCTGGCCTTCCTACTAAGAGCAAGAAGCTACAAGGGGCACCGGAGTCGACCATCGACCGGAGGCCTCGGAGTCGGAGTCAGCCTTCTGCCGTCGCCGGAGGCCATCGTCCTGGGAGACCTTGCCTGGGGCGTCGCCGGAGACGTGGGGCATCACTACAGGGGTTTCTTCAGTCTGGCGCAGCAAGCAGGCGCAGCTGCTGTGGGTCTGTCCTTTATGACATTTCCTTGACTTTCTACAGCTTTCCGGGGGTTTGCAAAGGTGGACCCACAAGCTACAAGTAAGTCCAAATAAGTGTTGGATGGTGCTTTCATGCGCCATGAAGCTGCCTAGTTCTGTTTGTTTCGACACTAAGGCAGATTGAAAGCGAATCGATTGGGAATCCAAGTGGATGGGTGGGATCTTAACACATTCTCAACAAAACACCGAAGCGCGGGGTCAATGGTGTGTCGAGATGCTGTGATCTGTTGCTCCGCATTCAACTGCTTGATTTTGCTACGAAAGGCGCCAAATAAAACAACGCAATGAGTGAAAACTAAGAACTCCACATTGCAATCCGCTCACCTGATGAAAGCTGGACCTCCTACCAAACATCCGGAACACTCACATGGGCCATGACAAATAAATACAAATACCAGGTGCTTCATGCAAATGTTGGCATTAGAAGCGTCTCTGTGGTTCCTTTAGCCCTTCAAGTGCCGCGTGAGCCAGTTGGAACATCCTGTACGGTTCTGCCAGCATGGATTGGATTCTCCATCCTGTGGAGTGATGGTTAGTCAAACTAATCCAATCCATCTTGCGCAGCTAGCCCTCCGGATTCAACTGAGCCGCCATAGGTCTGTCCGCTCTGCTCCCTCGACTCCCGCTTCCGCGCCATGGCGACTGACAAGTTTGGCTGGAAAGCCAGTGAAGCCAAAAGCAGCGGATGGAAGAACATCCAAATGCCCTGTGTCCTCCTAAGGGTTGAACAGCAGAATTCAAACAAACAAGGCAAGACTCCACCGACTGGCCCCTCCGGAACAGCGATGCTGTTTAAGCGCATTGGCCGTTCAAACGCTTGGAGGTCGAATGGAAGAATCGGGAGGGCTGGAAGGCCCAAGCCGCTAAGCCCTGACCCCTGGAAGACTAGGACACCATAAAGCGCCCTAAAACCACCCAGTGCATTTGGCATGACACAACATGGCCACATATGCTCACCATCGAGCTCGTCCTGGGGTCGGTGATCAGCAAGCGGCAGTTCCGCAGCTGAGGAGCCTGGTGGGCCACCCATTTAGATGAAAGACCTTTCACTGGGAGTAAGCATTGGTGGAAACGGAGGCGGAGTTGACTGATTATATTATCCGAGCCTAACAGTCTGTCCAATATACCTTTCTGTACAGGAGTTGTCCTTCGTTGCATGTCGAATGCCTGGACATGCCCAAAATGCCTCTAAGCTGATGTTCAGGGAGAGCTGGCTGTTGTTATGTGCAAGGTCATCCGTGTTCGAGACGAAGGCCACGCATGGCTGCGCCTCGCCCATGAGCTTCATTGCGCTCACCGAGACCTGCAAAGCCTCTGAAGGGTCATAGAGCACTTCTGAGGCCACCACGACCTGGGAGCAGTCCGACAAAGGTCGTTTCTGTCGAGAGATGCAGGGCTGCAATCTTTGACAAACATGGGCATTCTCTGACACATCACTGGATCGGAGCTGTGCTTTTCTGCTTGTAGACCCCGACAGTCGTGACTACTCTGAACATTGAGTTGGACCTGTGTGTATATATATATCCATAGAGGAGGTTGGTTGTATATATACATATATATATAACTCTCATAATATCATGTATTAAATGATAAGCAGTTACCTGCTTGGCTTGCAAGCTGCAAGCATATGCCTCATTTCTGTAGGATTTCTGTAGGCGTTTTCCCAAGGTCACAGGCCCAAAGGCCCCACCCAAAAGGGTTTCCATGTCCAAGGTGCATCAGCTGGGAAGTTGAACGTCTGCGAAGCTGACCAGTCGTACACGGCAGCCCGGACCTTCGCTCCGGCTGAGGAGTGCCGGGGCTTGAGATCTGTTGAGTTGCAGCAAAGTAAAGCTTTCTTGTGAAAAACATGTTCACAAGCTTCAACATGTCACCTCTTTGTGACGAGCATGGAAAAATTCATGACGTTCTGAGCCTTGCAGTCTTTCCTCTCCTTGCTGGTGTTGGTGTTTAAAATATTGGAATTGAGCATCAAAAGCCGCATGCCATCCTCCACTAGGTAAAATCATTGCAATCGGATCGTTTTGAGGAACTACCGCCAAACCTTGACCTGCTCACCGGTGATGTGGTTCAGCCCGTGTTCGACCCAGTTTGGCCTCTGGAGCATAAATGACCAGCCCATCCCCAACGCCCCCTGGAGCAGTATATTTGAGGCATGTAGAGAACGGCGCTTTCGGATGTGCAGGGCCCTCCCCTCAAAAGCAAAAGAACCAACTAAAACACATGCGAATGCTCATGAACCTCTGCACTAAAAATGGACCAATTGATGGAAATGATGGCCATCCTTCATACTGACCCAGAGTAAGTGTGCTTATATATATATATGTTATAGAGAGAGGGAGAGTTATGCAAACACCTCAAACATACATGATCAGTGTTGACACCTCTACACCTAGTGCCCTTCCGGACTCCCTTCCGGCTCCCTGATGGCCCCAACCGCCCCAACCGCGCCATGTGCTCCGCGTGGGGCGCATCCACAGCGCCCACGGGCAGGCTTTGCAAGGCGGCCGTAGAGGCCGCGCAGTGCAACGCCAAGGGCTCCCGGTCCTTTTGGCGCTCAGTACGATGGACATGTCGGGCCTCTTTTTGCAGTGCAACTCTGATAGATGGCATATAGATGACTTTGTTTTTGTTCCATTGGAGTCCTCAGTGAGGAAAGGCGGCCTGCAAGTTTAAGTTGTACTCTGACGCATGATTCCAACAAATAGTCAATGTGATTGCAGGAGCGAATGCAGGTCCTGCAGGTCCTGGGGGAGGGTACGCCCCGAATCACATGGGAGTGGACACCATCCTGTTGATAGAGAATTATTCTTATCCAAAAGTCAATTTTCATGCATACATGTGTCCAGTTCCATGTCAGTGAGTGGGAGGGTATCCTCAGAGCCTTACATTGATAAAGTTCTTGCGACTGGGTTTCTTGCAACAATTAAAGAATACCAACAATTAAACACGACATGTACCGTGAGTATCCTCCCTTGATTGTGAGTTGCAACATAAGCGCAAGGAGTCATATGACTTCGCTTCGGGTGTTTCTGGCAATGTTGAAGCAACCAATAATTCCCTTTCCTTCTGTTTTGGACCCTGATCAAAGTGTCTGTGGGCCAGTCTGTCCCAGCGTCTAAAAGCAATACATCAGCACCGGCCAAGGCGGCTGCTAGGCCAGCGACACCCAGACCAGCGCCCAGCCTCACAAAGACTGAGCACTAGAAACGCTGTGTGTAGCGTAGATTGAGACATGAATGTCCTTGAAACATCTACCAATTACCAACAGTAATCGGATATATATATATATTAATATATCTATCTGATTATCTTTACTTCAGCCAGGGGCGGTGATTCTTACTTCAGTGGATTTTAGAGCGGATTGATCAACAATCATATAACCATGTATCATGACTACTATACTGGTAGTTGAGAATTGGCAGCACCGGTTGCAGAACTTCCGAATGTGTGACATGCAGTGGTGGTGGAAGCTTGTCTGTTCTACTTACAGTAAACAATGTGAATACACGAAATGCACCGAACTGATCTAAACTGCAAGAGGAAAAGGAACCACAAGCAAACATGCATGTGGCCTACTTGCCCATTTCTGCGATCCTTCCCAGTTTCCTTATTCCTTCCTTCATTTCATGTCATGTCAATTTATTCGGCCAAGAGTGATCCACCTAATCAGCTCAGCACCGGTGTGAAAAAAGGCACAGTGCTATCATGCACAACAAAACAAGAAGAATCTGGCTGCATTTTAGGGGTTGCGAACTACGAGTACAAAGTCTCAGGTTCGATTCCCTTCAAAAGGCCTTGGATATTTCTGCGTCAATGCTACGGCTCTGGCTCTGGGCTCAACCCCCCTAACCTCAACGTCAAGAACATAAGCAGTATCACGACATGAGGACAAAGAAAGTCCTTCTCGATCTATACATCATCCAATGTCCTAAGTCTCTCCAAGCGGCTCCACCACACGCTTCCCTCGCACGGTGTACCCAGGCTGCCGGGTCAACAGTAGGGCCAGCGCAGCAGCGCAGGGCCAAACCTGTGCCGTTTTAGCAAAGCATTGGTGCTGCTTGAGGGGATGAACCAAAGGATCTGTGAGCAAAACAATCTACTGTATCTGCTTGAATTCCCCATCAGAAAACAAGGACAGCACTCCTGAATATTCCCATCAGTGGCAAAACTTCTTTCCCGAACAAGCAACACCCCTTGTGGGGCATAAAAAGCTCTTCGGGTGCCTCCACAGAATAGCGGTAAATGCATGCGTGCCACTTATGAAACCTACTTAGAAACGTGTAGAAGCCCTAAGGTCGCTGATCATTCAACACCCGCCTGTCAAATTCCAAGCCAAATAAATTACTTGGCAAACGGTGTATACCTGGCAGAACCGTACTTATAGAACTTGTACTTGGCAGAGCGTGTTGACGAACTCATAATTGGCAAACCACGACCTGACTTCTGCCAACTCTTCGAGCAACATCTTTTCGGAGCAATCCCGAACGGCGGAAACTCAACCCGGCCAAATAGAACATTATATTGCAAACATTCGATCTACTCCGCTGCAGTTGCCTGTTCAGGATTTGGGTTGCCAAAATTGTTTCCTGCGCGGTGGCGAATGGGCGAATCAAAACCAACTGCTTTGCGAGGGCTAGCTGCTAGGGGTGCACCCTAGCAACCAACCACATCTGGACCCAACATGGTTGATGCAAATCCTGTTTCTCGTGTTTCTCCCTGAGGAAAACCACTAGTACCACAACATCAGCTCCAAAACGGCATCATGAGCTCTCAGGAGCGCCTGTGCCCAGGACGGGTCTGCCGACGTCTTGCCATGCTCCTGGGGTGGCAGCGGAAACACGGAAGCGCCAAATGCGCAGACTAAGCCTCACAATTTGGATGGCTCAGCTAAGTTATGCATACTCTCGCGTTCAAGGTCTCGCCCTTCACTTGAGCAGGATTCCTCGTCGATTGACTTGAGTCATCATGCCCTTTTCTATGCGCTCAAGTAAACTTACCTTCGGATCTGGATTTGAGGACAATATGACCTTAACCTTGATGAAACAATGATCAGTTGACTTGATTGATGCTGCTGTTTCTTTCTGACCACCGTTTCTACCCGACTAAATGGGCAACTTGTTCACGGCGTAGGACAGGTCACAAAACGAACACCGCATGCTGTGCACACTTGAAACCCATTGAACAAAGCTTTCACGACGATAGAAACTGTGCAAAACATGTCCAAAAATAAGGTTTCTTCTATTTTAGAGGTAGCTTTGCTGGTACTTTCGGACTTTCGTTGCAACCCGCTATCACCTTCAAGTCTAACAAAACTAAGGAACAAAACCACAAGCAACAAGGATACCAACAAAATTGTCTCCCTGTCGATCTGCTCCCTGTGCAGTCCCAGCAAAAATATCCAGGGCCCACAACCCAGCAAACTGTATCTAGTGGCTCTCAGGAAGCAAAAGAGATCCCCAAATTGTAAATATTATATATGTCATTTTGGTCAGATCGGACATGGATTGCTTTTCTTCATTTAATTTATCCTGCTTACATCGGACGCCGCAAGGCCGCGAAACTGCTTGGTGCCGATGGTCGTGCCGTCGGCTTCCCTCCTCGTACCACTCCCACAAGGCTTCCACACTCGGAGGCTTCACCAGTCTCCTGGCGATGAATCCACTGGATCCACAGGTTTCTCGCTGCGGACCCCACTTTTACGGTCTTCTGGCGGGCACGAGGCCACAAAGCGCTACTGAAAGGAGCCGAAACCGGCCAAAGGGAGATATGGCCGTGAACTTGGGGTATGCCATGGAGGCTGATCATGCCCTAGGCCCGAAAGTACGTGTTCATTTGGGGATTTGCACTCCATCGTTCGCAAGTCACCGCATTTTTCGAACCAAAGAGTTGAGAGTCCAGATGCAAGAAACCTTCACTATGAATATATGTATATATAACAAATGTTCTTATCAAAATTCCCAGTTCCTATAGTGCTGTAGGTTTGGAGACTCTGTACTTTATTTACGTCTATGCACAACGGCAAGTAGTCCTCACAATGTTGATTTGTGACCCACTGCGCGTATGAATTGCAGAGGGGGGTCCAATGACTTTCAGGTGAAGGATGGACTGTCCGTTAAGGACGTGCGGCATGCTGCACTGATCTCTATGCGCCTGAACTCCTTCTCTCCCACACGCAGCTTTAGAGGCACCTGTGCTGGCATGTTTCGCTGGACATCTCATGTTGAACCGCGGAAAAAAGGAAGTCCAGCAGACAACTTATTTGCACAGTCAAATCCTGTGAAGTTCCGGCTTCTTTCATTCAACCAAGACCAACTAGGATCGTTATGCATATGAATCTTGGGAACTGCTAGTGCTGCTGAAGCGAAGGCATCGGATGCATGGTGGACAAAGTTGCCGCATTGAACCACTAAGCGCTGGTGGCAAGCAGTTGGCTCGAAACCGCACACTCAACCGTGGAGTGTAGAATTGCCAGCTGTCCTGTATGACATGGCACTTTAGCACAACTCCATAAGCACTATCAGCTGCCCCCTGCAAACCACAAACCGAACTAAACATCGCACATGAAGGAGCAAAAGACCTGTGCCACAAACCAAGCGAGTCCTTTTGGCAACCTGCATGGCACTCTCCAACAAGTCCCAGCCAATAGATGACTTGGTGCATTGATCAGGGACCGAGAAATTCCAAATAACTCGCATGTGCGTGTGCTAAAGACCAGCCGGGACTGGAAAGCACCTCCCACTCTGCTGGAGAGCACCTCCACCAAGGGCGGAAGCCAGCCGTCACCAATATGCAGCCATTGCACATCCTCCTCTTGTAGCAATGCCTTCTGAGAAGAGACACCCACACAACCCGAGGATCCAAGGATGTGTTGCTGATCGGCTTTCAGGAATCTCTCTCCCAATGTCAAAGCCCTTGAGACAAAATGGGAAGCTGAGAAAGGGAGGGAGTCAAAGTTGAACAGCGTCCGTGACCTCATCATCACAACAGAATGGAATAAAAGCTGGACAAGAATCTTGTTGGCTCTGCCGCACTGAAGCATGTCTTTTTCGAGTGAACTTCCGGTTCGGAGTGACACCATCATTCATTCTGTTCATTTCCTATATCAGTTGGTAGATCTGAGTGGTTTCCATGTGTTCCTGGGGCCATGACCTACTCTATGCCATAAAATTGAATATATAACTAACTACTATAATCTTCTGAGCTTGGACTTGAACCCCTCACGAGGAAGGACCTGGGAGGGCTGGATGTCTGCCAGCCAGGCCCAACTTGACCCACATTTGGCATGTCTGCACATTCTGCAACTGTCCCTATCCCAAATTGACACAAAGGTTGGGACCCCACACATGGATGGTGAATAAGTTACCTTTGGACGGTTAACTTGATTGAAGATATAATGCAGGGACCCAGGAAGTCTCCTCCCTGCGCCTCCCAGCCCTGCTTCTTTGGCAAAGCATGAGCGAGCTGAACCCTTGGCGGCACTGCCAAGTCCTCTGGTCAGACTTGAGAAGAGACATCGAACAGAGCAATTCGTCCTGGAAACATGGAAAATTGAAGGATTGCTTATTCAGGTGAGTGGTGGCGGCGGCTTCTCTCAGTTACGCACATTTAACTACAGCTGCTCCTGATATTGCGTCATCGGTACAAACAGTTCTTTCAAACTTTCCGCAAACATCAATAACCTATTGCCGCACATGGTCTTACCGACAGCCCTACCACAGCCCGCCAGCTATCTGGTCAATCACAGGCCCGTGTCCTGTTGCCTGGGTGCCAATGGCTCCTGTCAGGAGGCACACTGATCATGCTATTTGGGGATGCAAACACCGAAGTTTGGAAGGAACCTGCCGCACTTCAAAGGCCTTGTACGTTGGTAGGGCTGTCGGTTCGATAACGGAAATCCTTGGGTAAACGACAACGGATGGATTCGGTGGACCCACACCAGGTAAATCACCCAAAGTACACGAAAGGTACAACCTCAAATGTTGGCTGATTATGGTTGTTTGGTAGATTGATAGATAGATTGATAGAATGATGGACTGATGGATTGATAAATAGGTTGCTTGATTGATAGATTGATATATTGATACAGAATGATAGACTGATAGACAGACAGACAGAGACACAGACAGAGACAGAGACAGAGAGAGGGAGAGAGATAGATAAGATAAGATAAGATAGATAAGATAGATAAGATAGATTGGATAGCTTGGATAGATTGAATAGATTGGATAGATTGGATAGATGGGATAGATAAGATAGATAAGATAGATAGGATAGATAGGATAGATAGGAAGGATAGGAAGGATACGATAGGATAGGATAGGATAGGATAGGATAGGATAGGATAGATAGGATGGATGGATGGATCGATGGATAGATAGATAGATAAATACATAGATAGATAGACAGATAAACATATAGATAGGATGGATGGATGGATGGATGGACGGAGGGATGGATGGATGGATGGATGGATGGATGGATGGATAGATCGATGGATAGATGGATAGATGGATAGGTGGATAGATGGATGGATGGATGGATGGATAGATAGATCGATGGATTGATAGATACATCGGTAGATCGATAAATAGATCAATAGATTGATTGATTGCATTGGTCGATGCAAGCTTGCCATCAACACATGCGAAACAACACGCGAGAAACCTCCAGCGACTGCTCCTCCTCAGGCGAGGTCTGGTGTTTCCGTGGCGCCAGGAAGGCGAAACAGTCCAGGCAGAGCGGCATGAGAGTGTCTTGGACTGGTAATGGGCCCCGCAGCAATGGGAATATCTTTGCACCAAACAAACTCATATAGCGCATTTGTAGCTCAAATCATTGAGATATACTCAGACATACGAGTATTGAGATATACCACCTCGTTGCCTGCGGCATAGGTGTTGCGCCAGGGTGTTTTTGGCTTCCTCGCCCATTTGGGCGGGAGACTGTCCCACTGGAGGTCCAGGAGAACACAGGCAATACTCAACAAGGCCACTACCTCCAACATGAGATGTTCAATCAAAACCCCAGAATAGCTTGACAATGCCGCTTAGATCAGAATATATGAAAATAGATTAAATATCAATGGCCGACACCCAAGCAAGCCCAGTCATCGAGCTGGGTATCACCAGCTGCATGTGCTTCAACTAGAACGTTCTATAACAACATGGCAAGCTCTAAGCGCTCTAACTGCTAGCTAGCCACCCGACCAGCTGGCTCCAACGGCCAAAGCTGATTGACCAAACAACAGGCCCTCCATGCTG